GACCACAGAATGCCGGACTAGAGAGGTACAACCTGTAGTAGGATATCCAGTACCCCCCAACCAAGAAATCACTACACATACATGTATAGTTCATGAAACACAGGTCAACTTGTGGCATGATGGATGACTCATTAATGAGTAATATGGTCTAAAATCAAGAGATTTACAGGGAATTTGTTTAATATATACCTGTACTGTATACATATACAGTATTTATGAAAAAATACAAATAAAATTAATGATGGACCTTCCAACTTTTTGTAATTTATAAATCTATTAATTTCTAATTTCCATTAATTTTCATTAATGCATTTTATAAATTTTGAGAACAGGGACCAAACTATTAATACCAATACAGCGTTACACACCTCCAACATTTATTATTACAGTATATATTCTTGAATGATCAGCCACTTATGGTGTATGTTTTATCATTGATAATATAAAATACTAAATACAGTTGTACCCCACTTAACGCGGTCAATTGAACCCAGAGGATCCCGCGTTAAGTGAAATCCGCGTTAAGTGAACAACAGAACATATGGGATTAATTCCAATAGAAACCGGCCCGACCCCCAAACTCCACTTTTTGAAGGCACATACCTATGTTGTAGTAAAAATAACATCTTAATTTTATGATGGTACATGCACACAATTAATACTTAAGAGAAATACAGTCGCCAAGTTAATGTCCATTCAAATAATGGACTCAACTCCCTCCCTCTCTCACACTACACTCGCTGGCTCTTCCCTCTCAGAGAAATTTTTGGGGGAAAACCACTAAATTTTAATAAATAATACCTCAAACTAAAGTTAGGATAATACAATTGACATTGCTGGATTCCATGTAAGACCAGGAATATTTTGAATATAAATGTCATATATTTTGCACAAAAGATAACATAGTTACCTAGAGAAAAATTTTTATCTAAAATTTGTATGTTTAATGCAAAATATATGATGTTTATATTCAAAATGATCACCAAATTATAAGAATTCCAGCAATGTAAATTATATTCTGACCGGGTAATTTGTATGAATTTTATGAGCTAAAACAAATATCTTCAGTTAATAAAAAAAAAATAATCTTCACGACACTATCTGTCAATCAAAGTACCCCACCTTGCCTCCCCCCCTCTTCCAACCGCGCGGTCAGTCCCAACCCTCCCCCCCACCCCCCACCAATCCTCCCTTCCAGAGTTTTTAACATTTAGTATTAAATAATACCTCAGATTAAAGTTAGGATAATATAATTGACATTGCTGGATTCCTTGTAAGACCAGGAATATTTTGAATATAAATGTCATATATTTTGCACAAAAGATAACATAGTTAATTTCAGAAAAAATTTTATCTAAAATTTGTATGTCTAATGCAAAATATATGATGTTTATATTCAAAATGATCATCAAATTATAAGAATTCCAGCAATGTAAATTATATTCAGACCGGGTAATTTGTATGAATTTTATGAGCTAAAACAAATATCTTCAGTTAATAAAAAAAGAAATAATTCTTCACGGGGTAACAGATGGTCGGTCGGTCCCTCCCTCCCCCCCACCCCCCACCCCCCACCAACCGTCCCAAGGAGATGTGTGGGATAACCACTAAATTTTAATAAATAATACCTCAAACTAAAGTTAGGATAATATAATTGACATTGCTGGATTCCTTGTAAGACCAGGAATATTTTGAATATAAATGTCATATATTTTGCACAAAAGATAACATAGTTACTCTGAGAAAAATTTTTATCTAAAATTTGTATGTCTAATGCAAAATATATGATGTTTATATTCAAAATGATCACCAAATTATAAGAATTCCAGCAATGTAAATTATATTCTGACCCGGGTAATTTGTATGAATTTTATGAGCTAAAACAGGCAGTCAGGCAGGGTGGCGGGTGGGGCAAATCTAAAAATAGCGTCTCGGGCGGACACTCCTCGCCATCGCCAGAAAAAATCCGTGTTAAGTGAAAGTTCAGCTCTGGCGGGAGCAGCATGATAAACGTTAAGTGAAACGCGTTAGGCGGGAGGCAATACTGTATGTGTATATATATATATATATATATATATATATATATATATATATATATATATATATATATATATATATATATATATATATATATATATATATATATATATATATATATATATATATATATATATATATATATATATATATATATATATATATATATATATATACACACACACACACACACAGTCAACCCTCACTTTCTGCGGTTAATGTAACTCACAGGGTACTCTGGAGAAAGTGAAACAGCGTAAAGTGAATAACATAACATATGGGATTAATTGAAATAGAGACGGGCCGAACCCCAAACTCCTTTTGACTGACACACAACTATGTTGTAGTAAAATATTATCTCTTAACTATGATGGTACATGCACACATAATTAATAATTAAGAGAAATATCAATAATATTAGGTTTTTTAACACTTACATTAGTAGAAAAGATGGCTGGGCACACAGGGGATGGGCGGTTGGTTCGAGGCAGAGGGCAGATTATTGGCCCTCACTTGTATCAATGTATCTATCCACCACAGAGGCTTGGGGCCTCTTTGTCAAACCCCAAAGTCCATATAAGTCCTTATCCTCACCATAATTATCACTATCACTGACTTGGCTGGCTGTGGTGGGTGGCGGTTGAAGAACTGGTAATGTTTGATGATTGGGCGACCTTATGCGCACCATGTTAGCGCCGCTTACAACATGGCGGATGGCGGGGTTTGGATCCAAAATGGCCTGCTTCCAGCGCTCTCCGCTTGAAAGGTACCGCGCACGCCGAATGGAGCATCCTGGGTTCCGGCAGGGCACCGTAAACATGGAACAGCCGGAATGTAGGACCTGTAAAGTGAGTTGACTGTATATATATATACATATATATATATATATATATATATATATATATATATATATATATATATATATATATATATATATATATATATATATATATTATATATATATATATATATATATATATATATATATATATATATATATATATATATATATATATATATATATATATATATATATATATATATATATATATATATATATATATATGCAAGTAAATCACTGTAGGTGCGCGTGATCTAGGTATATGCTGATAACCACAAGGAAAGAAGAAAACACGAAGTTCCCAAGCGCTTTCGTGTAATTCACATCTTCAGGGGTGAGTACAGACTAAAGAGAAGTACAAAACAAGGTGTATATATACAGAGGAGGGTGAGACCAGGTCCACAATGGTCAGGTATTAGGTAATGACCCTACTAATCTTTAAATAGCACGCAACGGTCGGTAGTCAGGTCAGAGGGTAAGGTGACCCAACCTTCTCACCTGGTTACAAATCTTCTTAATTACAAAATTGTCCAGTTTGTACATGCCATTACTCAAATTCATGTTGAATGCTTCGGTATGTTTAATGAGACTAGATTCTATGATGTTCCTACTATCATTTGAATTACAAGGTAATATTGAGGAGGCATTATCCCAGTCAATGCAATGCTTGTTATCCCTCAAATGAACAAAACACATACAATAAATAATAGTGAGATATCCTCTCACAAATAATCAGAATTGTTTTGTTTTTTAAATGTTGACTCTACCCTCAAGTTCAGTCCATGATTTATTAATAACAAAGCACGGAATGGAATTGAAGGCAGACGAAACATTTTTAATCTTTTTTTCTGATTATTTGTGAGAGAATTTCCCATTATTATTTATTTGTATGTGTTTTGTGTGTGTGTCAACACACACACACACATATATACAATACAGTTGAGTCTGGATTTACGCGGTTTTTGTTTACGCGTTTGGTCATTTACGCGGTGCCTTGCCAGAATGAAATGCTTTAATTACGCGGTAAATTTGGTCATTTACGCGGATGAAGTATAATTTGTTTATTTACTGAAGATATTTGTTTTAGCTCATAAAATTCATACAAATTACCCGGCCAGAATATAATTTACATTGCTGGAATTCTTATAAGATTGTGATTATTTTATATATAAACATCATTATATTTGCATTAGACATACAAATTTTAGATATAATGTAAGAATTTTGATTACAAAGAGCAAAAATTGTATCTTTTGTGCAAAATATATGACGTTTATATTCAAATTATTGGCAGTCTTTCAAGGAATCCAGCAATGTCAATTATATTATCCTAACTTAGGTCTGAGGTATTATTTATTACTAAAAATGTAAGTCTTTTGTTTTCACCCAAACATTTCTCAGAGAGGGAGGAGCCAGCGAGCGTGGGAAGAGGGGGGCGGGAGAGTCGAGTCCATTATTTGAATGGACATTAACCAGCCACTGTATTTCTCTTAAATATTAATTGTGTGTGCATACCATCATAAAATTAAGATGTTATTTTTACTACAACGTAGGTATTGTGTTGGAAAAAGTGGAGTTTGGGGGTCGGCCCAGTCTCTATTTCAATTAATCCCATATGTTCTGTTATTTCATTTACTCGTTTCTCGTTTTACGCGGTACTCTGCGGGTTCAGTTGACCGCGTAAATGAACATCCAACTGTACAGGGAAAGGAAATTACTGTCTCTAGAATTAATGGCTTCCTGTCCCGGCCACGAAAATGCCAGCAACTTTAAAACTACCCTTAGACATTCTTGGGTACATCCAGGGTGTCATCCGCTAATAATAGAGGACTGCGAAATAAAAATTCGTGAATTATCTGGGCGTACTGTACTGTACCAGGAATTTGTTGAAGTCCACTCATGGAAAAAACTGGTAGTACTGTACTACTGCAGGAGCACTGTTCCTGGCAGATAAATCAAGTAGATCCTGTAAAAGTGTTACCGATTTTGTTTCCTTTATAATTTTGGATTTCAATGGAAATATTCTAACAATAAAATTAGAAATTAAAGCTTATTTCCCAAGTTGTCTTTATGTAAATGTGTACTTATGTTCTGTAAGTAATCAAATGTTTGTTCCTTTCAGTACGGTCTAAGATCGGTGCATTTGCTACGCCTGATTTCATGCAACTTGCACCTGGTCTGCCCAAAACTCGCTCAGGGAAGATAATGCGACGTGTCTTGCGAAAAATTGCAGTTGGAGATCATGATTTTGGTGACATCTCTACTCTGGCAGATCCAAGTATTGTTGAAGTGCTATTCCAGCATAGACCAAAGGAAGGGAAAGTATAAGAATATTGTTCAACAGTGAGCAGTCACTGTTCAGTACATGATCTACATGTGCAAGTGTAGCTTTGGTCAGATTTCAGTTGTTTGTTATAACTAACAGGTCACGTGTGCATCATGTTTAAATGGTTCTAACAATGCATATCCAAAAGACAATATATGCATCATATATGCTATAAAGGATACCTTTGGGTGTGTATCTTAGTACTTAAAAGTACCAAATATTACTATTTATTTATTTGATGTGAGTACAGTATATTATTGTGGTGCATGTTTCCAGTAAGCCAAAGGTACCTAAAGTTGTATGGTGCATCTGTTGTATGTATTTTAAGTGCTACCACAGGTCCACCATTATGGTTGTGGCATGAGTGAAAAGTTTCTTTTAAGCTGGTGTTTTTCTACTTGTTTACAGTATATTTTATTTAGTTAGTTTTTATTATTATTATTTAAGACTGATCACTTGTAGTTTAGGAAATCTCCAAAAATCTGTCCTTTCTGTACTGACAGTTGATGATCATTCCTTCCCCTAGACAGTACAGTACTAGTGGCATCAGTTGATTTCATTTTGTTCTTTTGATGATCATTTTCATTTCTAATGTATAATAATTTCTTTCTGTTTATTTTGTTATTGAGTAATGTGAGGAGATAGTGAGTTAACTGTTACTTAAATTTATTACAAGGCTTCAACAAATCAATGCATATCAATCTAGGATGCTTTTTTTTCAGTGAAATTTACTTATCTTAAAGGGAACATAAATGGATTTTAGAATGTGTTATTAATCTAAAGCTTAATTAATGTAAATTGTGATATTTATAAAATTTATTTTAACATTTCAAACTTGGGTGTAAATCAATAGTCTATATTATGTGCAACATCCACATGATTTACAAGTAGCAAGCTATGCTGAAAGTACAGTACTTATTCTTTATGGCTGTCTAGCAATGAGACCCGTCCATGTACTGAGCAGCTGGTATTTGCATGGTCACTTGGGCCTTCAGACTGATAAACAAAATATGGCAACTTCAACACACAGTCAGTCAGTCAGTCTTGGTCTGTTTTAAGGATATATTTGATGTTGTTGCTTCTTTTTTTTTCCAGATGCAGCTTTTGAAATATTGTAAAATTTTGTAATGTATTAAAAATAAGTAAAAAATTTGAAAGAATAATGAGAGATGGGTAGCATGAGCGATGTAATTTGTTCTTGGCATGAGGTACATGTGCTATGATGAGAGGCAGTTGTGTAATGGTGAACATGAGATTAAAGGTTCATTGGCAGAAGAACACAGTGGGCAACACTTTACTGATGAATATTTATTTTCTCTGGATGAATCCACACAAGAGTCACCAAAAGACCAAGTACAGTAGGTGGGAGGTATATATTTTGTGGGTCACTTACTCAGGAAAGGCATTAGTACAGTACATTCTGCTGATGAACAGTTGAGTAAAGACACAAGTTGTAACAAATACTGCATGAACATTAATAAAGGCATATGCATTTTAGCGGTGATGCTGTGTTAAGTTATGGTTCTTCACTATAAACTCAGGCTAGAAGGACTTATTATACCTCACAGTCTCTGGTATGATCCATTAAGAAGTACTTACTCGAGTGAGTCAACATTGCATGATACTGTAGTCTATTTCATCTACAATTGTCTAGCTTTTCTTATTTATTCAGGATAATGGCTTTACAAAATTTTTAGATAATTTATCTGTAGAAATGTGCAGGAGTGTATGTTGTGTTAAAACTTTGTTCAGAACAATCTTAACAGAATGTAAATTTTGCAGATTTGTAAATCATATAGCATAGGTATGGAAGAAAAGCGAAGCAGGTTTACATCTAATCTAGACAGACACATGTGATACAGCCCTGCTGTACATAACTTACCACATACACTTACCTGAGTTGAAGGATACAGTACTGAGGAACTTTTTGTGTGGCTGTTACCCAGAGAAAGTCATATATTTTAATTTACTGTGCTTGATCTATTATGTTACAAGTCATAAGGGTTGTGGAATATGCATGAATAAAATCAGGAGCTTTCTCATTGCTATGGAAAAAATTTACAACTTGTTATGGAGATAATTAACAACTGTAATATAAATAGGTAGTCAAAATATGTGTTGTAGAACACTGAGCAGTTATGTTGCACAGTAAAGCAAATGTGACTCTGCAAATATTTAGACACATATTTCAGTAAAATAAAAAGAAAATAAGAATTTGCTACATATATCAGTGTGGTTACAGCAAGACAGGTGATAAAGAGTACGAAATACAGTACTGCAAAAACTGTAGGAAATATTGTAGATATGTCCTGTTGCTGCAAACATAAATTGTAAAGGGAATAATTTTTCATTAATAATTTATAATTTTTTCATGAAAAATATTAATAAATAATTATGCAGTACAGTACTTTAAAAAATGACAATGAAATTGCATTAAGTACAGCCCAAACACTTTACAAAATTCCTTCATGATATTCATTACATTTCTTAGTTTAGTGAAATATGATTTTGACTTGTCATGTGATAAGACTTGAATTTGTTCCTCAGCATTGTTGAAATTTGTGATGGAGAAAGTGTTGATAAATGTTATATTTGATCTTAGCAGGTAGTGTAGTCACTGTTATGATAAGTCATGTTATGCCTGAGGGCCAGTCCAGCCATGACTGAATGCCATGGGAGAAAGTTGAAGATATTCATCAATTGACAAAGTAATTATTTCACACAGATACATTATTACATTTATCAAGAACATCAAACTCTATGCTGACCACCAGTACAAAGTCTTCTTTTGCTGTTTAACTTCAAAATTTTTTTCCTGTGTGAGAAAAAACATTATAGAACATACAGAATTGTTATTACCAGCGAAATAATATACAGTACAGTACTATCGTTTGAGCTGTGAAATGTATCTGTTATTGCTAATTAAAAATTATAATATACAGGAATGTTATGTGAAATATAATCATGAAAATAGTTTTATATTTATATGAAACTAAAAAACAGGTTTAAAATACATCGACATTTAGTCTCAGGACAGTTCTACATGGCATTCATGTAGTGGAGTAACCTTATTGGCCTTAAAGGTTTTAATGTTATTGTTTTCACTCTTGCCAGAGTTTCCTCGCTGTATTGAAGGGCGCCAGAACCAAGGGCAAACACATACTCTGTCTTCACATTCAGTCATTCACTCACTTTTGCAGTTGTAGCCAATATGTTCTACTTGGTGGTTCCTTCTTCATCACAACCTAATATACCTATCCGGTTTATTCCTATTGCTTCACTTAACCTATAGTCTGTTCACTCAAATTTTGCACCCGAGGCCTAGGGTCACTTTGTAGCAAGACAGCTGATTGGCTGGCAGAAGGACAGGTGAAGAGTTGCTACAATTCTATCATATTTCATATTCAATCTATCTTAATTATATTATGATACCTTCAGGGATATTAGCTTCTCTATATAGCATCACCCATTAGCTGTACCAGCATCCTCAATAAGCAATCAATACCTCTCATTTCTAGTGTACTCTTCACCTCCTCCTCCTCCTCCTCCTCCTGCTGTTCACCTCTTTTGAGACATATATAAGCACCAGAATTTATCAGTCTACCTAACAATGCATCTTAAGAGAGGTTGAAATAATTGTAGGGATTATTTTGCCATAAAACACTTCATAAATGTGCTGCAGCCATCTACAGTTTGGAATAAGGGTTTTTGGATAACTGAAAAGATATGTTAAAACCTAAGAAGAAAACTTATCAAACCTGGGTGTATTACACCTTACAGGGGGTCTCCGGGTTATGAATGGGTTCCATTCCTGAGGACGTTCTTAAGTCGAAAATGTACGTAAGTTGGAACACATGCTGTGTGCATACCGTACTTACAGAACAATGTTTAAAATCCCACTATTCATAGCTTAAGTCCTTATATACATCTAAAATCACTTAAATTAAGAGAAAAGAAAAAATAGAATGACGAAATACAGTAAATGAAAGTAAAAAAAAGTCATCAGGTAAATAAAATACTGTAAATTTAAAGTTTAACCTCGTTGGTATCGTCGGGCATTTGTAAATCGGGGACCCCCTGTATTGTAATGATGAAGTGAGAGATGGTAACTAAGAGATTTTTATTTTATTTTTTTAGTGTAGAATTATCAAGAATAAATAATATATAAATATGGAGATTGAAAGTGAAATAAATGATCTGATCTGGGTATGATTAGGTGTTATGGACATATTAAGACAATGGAACATTTAAGTTTGGTAAAAACAGTTTATGTATATATGGTAGGAGGGAAGCTCACAAGTGAAGGATATACCAAAAAAAAAAGGAAAAAGAACATATAGAAAGTGGTGGAGAGTGAAGGACAAGAGAACATGGTGTCAGGTGGGTTTTTTATAATAGTTGTGGAACAGACTGCTGATGCTAAGGTTGTGTGAGGCAACAGTTGTATTTAACACTTCAAATTATCGTACTTGGTGTATTTTTCAAAGGGGGGCCCCTTCTAACTGATCACCAGATGAGTATTTGGGGCCTTAGTGTGGAAAGGGAACACCATAATAGAATAAATTTGTTAGAGTAATAAGAGTAAAAGATTGGTAGCAATTACAGGGAGAATAAGTGATTGCCTTTGACTCTGGCCATCTTACATTGTAGTGGGAACATTTGAGAGTGGCAAAAAGAAATTAATGACAAACTTTGGTTTATAATGACTTGAGATACTAAAAACTCCATTCATTGATGAAGAATTTGGAGGAGTTCCCAGTTACATATTGTATTTTATAATTAACCCTTTGGCTGTGGGAGGTTACCTTAAGCTGAATAAAATCGTGGCAAGTGCAGGAAACGCAGCGAAAGGGATAAGGTAACCAAGTTTGGGATGTCATCCGACTTTGACTTGTTAAATAAAGTTTAAAACGGTACAGAATAATTAAAAAATTCAGTCAGGCATTGTGGTTGTATCTTGGAACAGCTCTGATTAATTTGAACCAGTGAACTGTTCACAGTTCATGGATTTAGTACTACTGTACTGGATACTTGACGATGTATCGTACGATGGTTTCCTACATTCCTCATCTTGAGTTTTAGTATTTTTTTGTCACTTGTTTTTGTGGTCAAAAGCAGAATCAGTAAAATTTAAACTAATGTAATTTTTAGAGTAATAAACCTCTTGAAGACCAATGAGGGGCACCTCAGCTCTGTGTTTGTCAGTATCGTGTGATCTGCACTCTTAAGACCAAGTCTTCAAAGTGTGTGCAGTCATAGTACATGAGACTTTTCTCTTGTGGATATGTGTTATTCTTATTAGAGTACCAGATAATACAATGTAACCTTTAAAGTGGTTAAAAAAAAGAGCAAATATTTAACAGATTTTTTAATTGGTTCATTCATTACTTATGAGTTTTGATCTAAACATTGTAATTACACAAATAATTTACTTAAACTGAGAAGTGTCATGTAGTGTACTTAAACTGGGCACAGTTTGGGAGTTTGATCTGTAGTCTCATTTGCACCCACAGTAGGAATATGTAACGACATAGAGAGATAACAAATAATTATTGAGACAAAACAATCTTGGTGTTTACTCGGTGTAGCCATTGAGACATGAATAATACTATTGTAGCCGTAACTCATGAACTTGGTACAGTACTTGATGAATAAATAGCAGTGTCATTTGTGTTTCTGTTAAAATCTTGCACATTGCTGTTGTTTAGACTTGCACACTTATTACCTCTTTGACAATGCCTGTATATTAGATTTGACAAGGATTTCTTTTTCTGTAATTACAGTATGCAATAGTTTGTATATTATGGAATCAGTTAAATTAGTTCTATGTAAATTATCTTGAAAAAAGAGAGAGCTTTTAATGCTCGTGCATCTGTTCATAACAGTAATTGTACAATAGTTTACTACACCAAAAGTTATTGATTTACGTGTACATAAGTTTGGGATTTGTAAGTTATGGTACAGAAGATAAGACTTTAGTTAAAGTAAATTACTTAGAGCATTTATGCTCTCTTTTTATTGTGTGAAATTAAGTTTTATGTAAAGCATGTTTCCCCTTTTTTTCCTTTTCTTTTTAATAAATCGATATTCTTATATATAATTTTTTTTTTTTAGAATGGTTTAGTTTTTTCTTGAGAATACAGGTTTCAAAAGTTGTAAAATGAATAAAGTTGTTGGTACAAAGGTGGTGATTGCTGTTGATATAATATTTGTATACTGTATGACTTTTTGGCAGTCTCTTGTTTGCTCTTGTGATATGAACAGCAGAGAAACATTAAAATTCACAAGTTTAAGAGAGAGATTTAGCATGTACCATTGTTATAATGTTTTGCAATATAAGTTTTACGAACTTCAGGTTCACTCTATTTTGTATGGAATAATATAGTATTTTTAAAGTGCACAAAGCCTCTTGGCATAATGACATATAAAGAGCTTTTTATGTACAGTAAACATTCCAATTTTATTTGTTAGTCTTGACAATATTTTTGTTTTGGGTTTGTTGTAATATTAGAATAAATACACATATTGCTAGGTAAACTTATTTCATGGACACCTTGTTTATCATGGATCTGATGCAGAGATGACATTTTTGTTGTACAGTATTGTCAGAGATAAAACGAAAATGAAATATCACCAACCTACGTTGTTTTATTTCCCTCACAATTTTTAAAACAGCTTTACTGTACAATATATGGAATAAAAATCCCATCCATAAGTTAGATGCATCAAAAGCAAACCATAATTTTTAGCTCATCTGCAAGATTTGATTTTGCCGCTTACAGCGGCTACTTTATTGTGCACCCCACACTCATCCTGTGAGCGATAGCGCAAAAGGATTACAGAGTAGAGTTTACAACGGGTCATAATAATTAACCTCGGTTGTCAGGATATTATGGCACTAAATGTTACACAGTATTTCAATTACATTATTTGTTTAGTTCTATACATAAAGGGTAACTTATTCACAACTGCGTGAGTACAGGCGTGTGAGGCAGTATGTCTGGCCTCACACTTTGTTATTCACATTTACGTGAGAAGTATTCAAGCACATTGCGTATTTGGTTCTGTACATGAGAACTGATATGGTTACCAAGTGCAAAAAAGTGGATTCAATCTTAATATGGCGGCTATCTTGCCATTAGAGATGAAGTTTTGTGCCATTTCACACGCACTGTGCTTGGACCTATCCCTAAAAGGTTCTATCTTCACAGTCAAGGACGTAGTGTTCAAGTGTGTGGCCATATGTCTGGCCTCACACTTTACATTTAGTCTTGTTTACATCTGCTTGAGGAACATACTGCCAGAGGTACTTATATCCTAACCTTAATCTAACGGTTACAACATCTTGTAATCTAGCGATCTTGTTACATCTCATCATGGTAAACTATGGATTGACTAGTGCCTGTTTGCACTAGTCTACTTGCGTCAAACTCATCAATAAGTTCTTTCCTAATTACAGTTTTAAGGGTTCTTTTTGACAGACCCAAATTGTATTCAACAGTGTCTTTGTTAGACGCGAGTTTGGCGAGGGCATCAACTCTGTCATGTTTTATGAGGCCAATGTGAGAGGGGATCCACAACAGTTTGACCTTGACACCCCGGTCAACAAGGCACGCATAATTGTGTCTGGCTTCAGAGATAAGAGCGTGACATCCTGAGTCGAGGGTGCCAAGGGCAAGTAGTGAGGATAGAGAGTCAGTGATGATGAGACTGTCACTGATGTTATATATATGTATGTTTATATGCTGCCTTTATTCAGGGCCGGTGCAAGATGATTTGGCGCCCTAGGCAAGCTTTTAGATGTGCGCCCCCTTGAAAGTTTTGATAAGCTAATGTAGGTACAGTAACCCATTACTACATTGTTTCTAACTCTCGAAACACCACTGATAACATAATTTTCATCTTGTGGCTTTATTACTTCATCCATGCAAATAACCAATTATTGTTAGTACATTAAGTCAATAAATCCTTGACGTAAATGTCCATGAAACAATTTTTAGTTATTTTTTTTATTTTAGGGTAATCTTTAAAAAATAATAACATATCATAAACATTTAGCTCGCTCCAGCCTCCTGCGAGTTATAACCTACTATTATTACATCATTATTATATACATGTAGTGCAAAATAAGATACTTGTGAGTTGTGACCAGTCATTGGTCGGACAATATATTAAATTGACATCTTAAGTATAAATAGAAAAAGCTTAATGGAGAGCTGTAACAGTTATGAATAAAAATAATTGCAACTCTGACCAAGCCACATTAAAAAATTATTTACATTAAAAACTTAATACAATCACCTGGTCAGTCTCAGTGGGATTATGTTATGCGAGGTCAAACTTCAGAGGTCAGGTAACCTTGCCTCATCCCGACAAAGGCAGGGAAGGGACGGCTCAGCCGCCCTGGCAGTAAGGGAGGGGAGGGTATGGTGGGGTTGGGAGAAGGGTTCCTCAGATGTCAGCCTTCAGGTCACTGCTCGACAGTTCTCCAGGCCGCGAAAGATAAGGACTAAGAGTCTGGGTTAACGAATATTAAAACATGTCACTACCTCGCCTCCTGACCTCTAACATCCTGCTCTGACCTCCACGGTCCACCCAGTGTCCACCACAGTTTCCATTTTAATTTTATCCAAGTTTTCTGTTCTGAATCTCCAGATGTTAACGCACCCTAGGCGCATTGCCCAGTTCTAGCCAGCCCTGCCTTTATTGATCATATATATATATATTATATATTATGTTATTTAACAAAGTCAGAAAGCGTTTAGGCTTGGTGTAAATATGAAATGTTAGGCACGCC